CGGCTTTTATAAATAAAATATTTAGTATGCCTCCAGTTTATAGTAAGGATTTAAAACAACGTATAATATAATATCTTCGACATGATTTGTTGGCTTAGTTATTATACTTTTGTTGTAAGTCAATCCCACAGTATATTTAAACACATTCGGCACCCAAAGCAGGTTCCTTGTTTACTTAAGTTTAGTATATTGTGTATCAGCTATTATTTTTTTTATAATTTGGATATAATTTAAGAAATTTGAGTTTGATTTTATTTTGGCTTATAAAGTTTAATTTTGAGCTAAATTTAGTTAATGATCTTGATTTTTTGATTTCCCGATTTCCCTTTATACAGTACATACATGTGATAAAAAACCACCGACTACATCTTTTTGCAAATGGCTATAATTAGTAATTATAAAATATATAAAAATATCAATTTTTTTTTGAAGAAATTGTTGATTTAATAATAGATTATTATAACCAAATCCATATCCGAAATTCTCTAAATAAGTAAATACAAACAAGATTTTTGAATAAAGATTTTAATTCAAATAAATTAATAATTTATTGAGTAAAATGAGTACCAAAAGAATAATAATAAATAAAATAAATAGATTCTAATACATTGAATTATTCAAATATTTTTCCTAAGTTGGTTATAAGTTTAAGACGGGTGAGGAATAAATTTTTCTTTATATAATATTTACATATAATTTGAACTAACTAAATCCTTAATTTATTTAAATAATATAGGGAGTAAGTTATTTATTTACAGTTGATTTCATAATATACGAGCACCTAATAGTTACCGAGAGACAACTCGGTACATCTGGTAAAACTCGGTAAAGTTCAGAATAAGGTAAAAATATATTGTTAGATTCGGAGCATTGGTCCGAGCACAGTGGTGTTACTGGTGTAGTTTTTATTTTATTCTGAGTTATAGACCCGGATCCGAGTTTGGGCTGGCAAACTTTAAATTCACCCGGCCCGGGTCCAGACCGGCACATGATTTTCGTTACCCGGATTTTCGTAATTCTGGCCAAAATCGTCTTAATTCCGGCCGAAATTAAACTGGCCAAAATTAAGTTAGTCGATTTTTTTTTGTTTTTATAACAAAACTAGCTGGATGCCCGTGGGCCTGGCTAATTAAAACAGTTACCTTTCCGCTAAGCTGTTATATAAAGTCTAGAATGGTTATTAGCATTAAAAGTTTGTGGTAAATAGGGAATAAGTCTGCGTAATTTACATGCATAGTGTGGCAAGTGATTTTACATTTTACATTGACAAAATAAAATAATAATAAAATATAATAATATGTAATACATTTTTTTATTATAATAGTCATTATAATAGTTATAGTGGTTCATTAGGAAGCTGGGCTGCCTGGGCAAACCCAAAACAACATCCAAAGAATCATTAGACCTAAAAAAAGGTACTAAACTTTAAAAAAAGAAAAGAAAAAATGATTAGTAATTACGAAAAAGAATTCTTTAAAAAAAATCAAAAATATAATTCAGACTAACCTTCACTCTGAAAGGTATCACCAAAACCTAAAAAAGAGAAAAGGGTTGTTCCCTACAAAAAAAAGTTAATTAGTGACATTTTTTTAAAGTTTAAAATTCATTTTCAGAACTTATCCAAGTTCTCAAAAATTGATCGTCTACTAAAAAAGAAAAAAATGAAACATCGTTAAAGAAATAATGTTATGAAAATTTTATTTACCAAAATTTACATCTGTCCAAGGTGTTGCAATACTGTCTAAACCACAAAATATAGAATACGAAATGTTAGTTAACATTTCATTTCATTAAGAAATAAAAAAAAATTAATGAAAAACACTTACAAATTCCATGTCCGGAAAGACCCAAAGAGCCACCCTACAGAATGCAAAATAAACATTAGTAAACATTTCGTCAACTAACATTATGTTAAAAGAAGCATTTAAAAGAACCTACTAAATTTCACGCGTCCAGAATCATGAATAAACCATATAAAAAAGGAAGAAATGTGATGTCAGTAAATGTTTTGTTAAAAAATTTTTCAGAGAAAAAATACTCACCACAATTCTGTTCATGTATAAATTATTCCTTTTATTCAGCCATCTAAAAAAAATGAAAAATTAAAAGAAATGTATTACCAAATTTCCACGCGTCTGAAGACAAACCAAGAAAACCACTGAAACCTAAAAAAAGAAGACTTTATTTTTTTGGTTTTTTTTGTGTTTTTTGCACAGTTATTAAATATCTGTAATTGCTGTTATTAGAAATGTTCAATTCTCCCAGTAAAATCCTTGTGCTTAAAAATTTTGAGAGCTGTGCAGGCATTAGAAATTAAAAATTAAATGTAAAAGAAAAGGTGTATTTTTTTTAAAAGAAAGGGATTTTTTTTTCGTCATGTGGGAAAATTCAGAAACTGAAAAATATTTTTTTTAAAAAAAAAAAAGAAAATTCGTTGTATGGGAAAATCAAAAAACTGAAATTTTTTTTTTTAAAAAAAACAATGACGATTTCTAAAAAGACAATGATGATTTCTCATGTGAAGAAGTTTTACGCCAATCATTTATGCAGCCTAATTCAAAATTGTATTGGGATTAGGGCTGCCCAATTAAGCTAATCAATGTCAAATGATGCGCCACTCCGAAAAAATCTGTAGCACAGGGCGCAGACACATGATGCTGGACGATCCAATGTAAATCCACCTTTTTATGCAAGGTAGTCTTAACGTCACGGTCGCACAATGCCTTTTTTTTTATAGATATAGATGATATAATAATAGTCCGGTACAACATTAACAAGAAATGTACTTAACGAGACGGAATTTTTGAAGATTCCAAGGAAATCTATTATCGGTATCAATAATAGTACCATTACATGCTATCGTAGAATTGGCATTTTCTTTATATATACTACGGATGATAAAGAATAGATGGTTCTCGAACAGGTAATTCTCCATATCCAAAGAAAACGCCGTAGATTTCCCCAGTGAAGTAAAGAGATCCAAGGGATTTGTTGAACTAGTACAATTAGCAAATATGAATGCGTATCCTTCATCAATCGTTGGAGTGACAGTCATATGATTTTGAGATGTAAGATTTTATTCCTCTTACAATTGAATCAAACCAAAATGCTTAAAAGTCCCATTGTCAGCTCCTCATAAAAAAAAGAGATAACAAATAAATTAGACCATACATAAAAAAATTAAAATCAAAAATTTTTTATTAATTATATGATAAAATTACACTTTAAACTGTAGGAATTTAGAATTAATAATGATACCGAAAGGCGTAAGTTTAACACAGATGAATCCCTTGTCTTGTTCAATGTTTGTTTTAAAGTAAGAAGGGAGAGGGACATTATTATAGAAAGAAAGACCCAGCTGAATTTTACTATAAAAAAAGATATATCAGCAGTATACACATATAGTATCAGGTATTATGTTTTTTTTTAAAAAAAAACTAACCTGGAAACTTGGATCTTTCCACTTAAATCAACAAGTATTGCGCGTTTTTGGTAAGTAGATAAATCATTTTCATTATCAGTTACCATGTAGGTAACTAACAAAAATTACTTTTTATAGCATACAACTCCATAGGATTATAACTCTAAATCATACGAAAATTAACTTTTCGTATATCTAATTTTTCCATTGAAATATCAATTGCATTAATAGATCCATTTGAATAAATTGTTCGAAACGATAACTTTTGTTCTAAATAAATATAATTAGCAATTTTATTAATTGGACGAATTAATTATACGAGCAACCATCGTGTCATCATCAATTTTATTATATTAAATACAAGAGGTGTTTTGTCATTTTCATTTTGCTTCTCGTCGAAACTAATAATAGAATCTGATTCTATTGGTAATATTGGTAATATTACAAATAAAACAACTAAAAAAATAATTAAAAAATAATTTAATTTCATTTCGTAAAATTTAATAAAATTTGAAATAAAAAAAACGACGGTCGACGGATAAAAAAAAAATGAAATTATATAAAGTTTTTCTGGTCATAAGACTTTTACTCGTAATTACGCAATGCGGCTTTGTTTGAAAGTAGGATATCCTCAGAATTACTTCTGGTCGTCGTGGCGTGGCCGATTATATTTTTAAATTAAATGTTACTCAACAACAAATCAATAACGCGTGAAACATCGAAAAAAGCCAAGAGTTGTTTTATTTTTCTTTTGATTTCCGAATCGATCACTAATTTAGGCCGATCTTTTAAGCATCAAAATTCGGATTTTACTTTTAAGGATTAGGGATTGGAATCAATTCTACCCAAAATCGAATTAATCGAAAATCGTATCTAAAAATCGAATCTCAATAAATCAATTTTTTATATTATGGTGCAACAAAAGTGATCATGTCATTTCTATAACTTTACGCCGTTACGGTAAAAAAAATAATATCGGAATTATCAAAATTGCTGAAAAATGATCAACATTTGATGATCAACACATAAATCACTTTTTTCTCACCATTACGAAAAACATGGCTACCACTACAGTCGAAGAAACAGAAAGACAAAAATTGGAAAATTTCCAGGTCTTGAGGAGTATGATTCCCTTGCATGGTGGGCAACAAACAAAGCCCAATATCCTATATTGCATAAAATGGCAATGAAATATCTTTACATTCCGGCTACCTCAGTACCATCAGTTACTCTTCAAAGAAATCGCCTAGATTCAAGCATCATTAATAAACTTATGTTTTTAAAAAGAAATAGAAAACACGTAGATAGATTTGGGGTGAAAAAATAACTGATTGGTTTGAAAACGAATTTTAAAACCTTGATTTTTTTTGATATTTGTAATAAACAATTCAATATATCTAAATAAATAAAAATTTATTATAAAATAAATAAATAGATTAGTTATATTTTACATGAAGCCAAAATCCGAAGCGAAACTCTGGCCGAAATTTTAGAACATGGCCGAAATTATTTGGTAATTCTGGCCAAATTTGTGGAATATTAAACAAAATTCATAATGCGGGCCGAAATGTATAGTGCTGGCCAGACAATTTCGTCAGAGTTTCAGTTTCGGGAATGACTGGCCGAAACCGAAACCTGAAATTATGCCGAAATTACTGAGTTTCGGCAACATGTATAAGTTACTTAAAATTTTGTACTGCAAGGTCATCGAAATTGCTGCGCCACAAATACATTTAAGAAATGATTGCCCGTGAAACTATTATATATAAATTCGGTTTAGATTCGATTTTCGATTGAATCGATTCCAATCCCAATTAAGGATAACGCCTTTGATCGATTGACGTTATGCCTTTTTTGTACAATACCGTAGAGCACTGCCCAAAACACCTGCGTATACCCGGTACACAGCAGGCAATGTATGAAGTGTATGAAATTCAAGTTAGCACAATGTGCAAATTACAAAATCGGAAATAAGAAGCCATGTTAATAAAAAAATCACAGTTTATGAGAAAAAAATGATGCGTTAATAGAAACACTACTGATGGAAAAAATGATTTTTTTTTTCAATATAAAGGCAAAGCTTTTCCGCTCTTCTTTCACCATCCAATCGAAATATTAAAATATTTTAATATCAAGATTTTAAAAAATTTCTATTCTTTATCCATCAAAATCAATTATGTTTAAGACTTTATTCGTAATTTTGATTTTTCTTGCTGGTTTATCATCTGCTTTGCCAGCAAATAATGAATTAGTTAACACGCTTATTAAGCGAAACGAGTGTTCGTGTAATGTCTTCTTCGCGGAATTTGGAGGTGAACATGACTCGAAACGTTCAACCGGGTCGAATGGAGCTGTTGGTTTTATGATCTTCTCTCAAAATGAACAAGGAGAAACCAATATCGCTGGAATTTTCAAATCAGGCTTCACAAATGTCATCAAGTGTCCAAAAATTGTGATCAAAGATCACTGCGGTAGAGAACTCTTTGACCTCTCAGAGTTGAATGTACAACCAACATCCGATAGTGGCACGAAATCTTTCAGAAAAGTGTTTAAAGATCTCAACATTAACTGTGGTCCAGACAGTATTTTTGCAAAAAATGAAAAGAGTTGCGATAACGGCAAATATCAGAAACGCCAAGGTGGTGGACCTACTGTTTCTGTTATTCCTCCGAATACAAGTTCGGAATTGATGGGCCCAATTAATGTTTAGTGTTTATAAATTCTATTCCTAATCTCTTTTGAGATTATGGATTATTTCGCCTTACCCTCCCTCCATAGGAACGCATGTCTTATAAATAAAAGGATCGAAATTTTTTGTTTGTATAAATAAAATTATCTAAGATACTTTTTTCGGAAAAACCCGTCTTATCATTTCCACCTTAGTTTTGATTTATAACAAGTATATATATACAGTATGTACGTCTATATTAGAAAATTTATAGAAAACAGGGTCAATTTGCTATTTATCGATCGTTATTATTACAAAAACAAAAATAAATAAATAAAATAAAATAATAAGTATATAATACATTTTTGTATTACACGAAAATAAAATAGAACCTTCGATTAATAAAAAACAAAATATAATCATTGTCATTTATACTAACTCACGCTGTATTTATATTTGAAATCTCTCTTTTCATCATTGCGGATTTATGAAATTTGTCCGTCATGTCAAATTAAATGAATATTTGACAGTATTTTAGTCGCCAAATTTCTATTTAAGTCCCAGATACGTTGATTGTGAAGAGCGTCCAAAGAATTTTTGCGTTTGTCTTTTTGTTTGTGAGAATTATTATGGAGGTGGTAATTTTCTTCTTTCTTTTAGTGATGTTTTGTGAAGCTCGAAATGATATGCGCGTTGATTCCAGGTCACGGAATTGAGATCAGAAATAAAATTCTTAGGAAAGCTACACCCCTAGAGGAAAGTAATTAATAAAGGATCACGTGATGATCTTTTTGCCAATGTAATTGTAAAATAAATATGTTAAATCAGCTGGTATACTCAATTAATTTGTTGTCCTTGTAATTTGTACTTCGATTTGGTTCATCTGAAACATAAAATAAAAATAAAAATAAAATAAATCAGCTGGTATGTATTGATGAATGAGGAGTATGCACGGGTGTTGACTATCCAGTGCAATGGGTGAACTCTCGGTTAGTGGTAAATTTAAAAGTGGCGATGAGGATTGATCGCTTATGTCGTTGTAGTGTGCTCTGTTAAAAGATCGACGAATTTATTTGTGTTTTTTTAAGACGTTCTGGATCCGTAGCATCTTTGCATTCAAACACAGGATATTTGACCTGTAGGATATAATTTTGGTGAAGAATGTCTGCGGTCGGGTAAATAAATCAAGATTTTCTAATTTTTGATCTTTGGTATTTGGACTAGTTGGAGAATCCATTGGATTATGATGTAACCAGCGTTTGGTGTAGTATCAATCGATATTTCCATTTGTAACTTGATGATGTATGCGTTGAAGTGATTTGTTATTAACCAATGAGTTGAAGATGTGAGCTTGAATAGGCGTGTTGCTAGGATCCAGAAATATATATATAAGGGTCAGGTGGCGAAAAATTTTTTTACTATGAGCTGTACGCAGAGACTTTTTTATGAGTAGTACGCATAATTGACACCTGATATTGAAAATCCTGCAAAAATACGCAAATAAAATTCCAGACATCAAGTTATAAATTATTTTATCATGTTTTCTATATTATTTATAAAACCAAATACTAATGTGAAAAAAATGGAATTTATTCTAATTTACCATTTTTTCAATAATATTTTTCTAAAATTTCACTTTTTAACCCTTAGAAATTTCTTTCAATTAATACTAAATATGTATTACAATGTGGTTAACGTACAGTAAATATATTATATATATATATAGGATTAGCCCAAAAATACGCAAACTAATTTTTACATATAAAAATTTTGATAAAAAATACACAATCTTGATGGATGAAAAATTCTTAAATTGTACGCAAATCAAAACTTTACTCCGTCTAATTCCATGATGGCGACGCAATGCCGACGCATCTGTGTACCCTACCCCTGTATGTATATTTCTAGGTCCTGTGTTGCTCCATTGTCGAATATTCTGGTTGACGACATATATGCTGCTTCAATTAATGAAACCTATGGATGTTTTATTAAAAAATTTGTAATTGACAATTATAGGATCTGGTATCTGAGCACCAAATGAAGCGAGGCGATCGGCTATTTCGTTGAATGTGTCGCCAGCAGAGTGAGCTTTAACTTTCTTGAGCGAAACTATGAGATGTTTCGATTCAATTAACCAAAATATGAGGCCCCAGATAAATCTTGAGGCAATACTTATTTATTTTATGTAAAAGTGGGATCTTGAGGCAATACTTTATTCGTATATTATAGCAGACGATTGATCACGTGACCAAATTCGGCCTAATCACGAGGTGACGGTCAATGTTCCAAATGTTGCATATGTGCGGACCCGTAATTTACCCACCAACACCGGCCCATGATTAATCAACATTATTTAATAACAATTACGGACCTTTACATGTTTATACCATTATATACCTGACGGTATTTACGTATAGCACCAGATTAATAGAGTGAAAGAAAAATACAGATGATTAGTCATTAGTGTAGTTAGAATTCTTTTCTCCCCCCTTTTGTTCACTATATTATTTCATTGACATTTAGCCCCTTGAGGCATGCTGGAGCAGCAACTACGTTACTGATCTCCAGATCTTTTCCTTGAAGGGTGGTCCTGTATGGGATATGCATTTCTAGTTGATAGATAGTACGCCTTATTATCATGTATTTGTTTACCTACCTCTGTAATTTTGCTTGTATCAAAATCAGCAGTTTGCCTGCCTTTCTAAAGTAAAAATAAAATAAAATAAAATAAATTTCCATTTTGGAAATTTTATGAATTGATTATATTAATTTTCTTAAACAGACTTTCAAAATAAACAAAATTTTGATTAAAATTTGTAATATTCATCATGAACCTCTGAAAGGTAATATTCATATTAACCCTAGGGCCTAGGTACTATTCACCAAAGAATTAACACTGACTATTGACAAATTGTTATAGTTCTTAGATACTCTTTCCCATTTATTTCGCCGAAAATCATCTCACCGACAATCAATTCACCTATAATTGTTTTACTGACGGCCATTTCACCGACAAGATCATTTCTTTAATATGGTTATTTTACCGACGAGTACTAAATATATAACTTATTAAAACAAAGATTCATTAATTATTTTATTAATATTAATTACTACTCATAATTTGAATAGATTAAAAATTTTGTGTTAAATGTTTAATTATATTATGAAATAATATTAACATATAATTTCATAACGTTTATAAACATTTATAAACACTTAATGTGTTTAACATATAATATAGGTAAATACTCTTAACATTATAATTAATTATAATTTGTGAAGCTGAGTAAAAAATCGGTGAAATGATTTTTGGTGGACTAACACATTAACACTGTCGGTCAGTGATCCTGTTAGTAAAATAATTTTTGTGAACTCTGTCGGTAAGTTGAATGTCGGTGAAATAATTGTCAGTAAAACAAATTGAATTCCTTCCAACTTTGATCATCTCTTTGATTAGTTTTAGTTAATCTATCTTCTTAGCCCATTTTTCGTGGTTCTTCTGACGGTTACCGTTACGCTTCCCGGTTCTGAAGTTGCCTCAACTTAAGAGCACAAAATATTCCTGATTCTTCTTCAATTCCTTTCGCTTAGTTAGATTCAGTTCTTGAAGTTATTTAAATGATTAACGTATTTAACATACTTTTGATAAAAGATAACTTACGATAGCAATTTTAATACTACAATATATAGATACAATTCCGTTAAAAGTCCTATTACAAAATATTTTAAAGAAATTTTTGATCAATGGTACTAAGATTTGTGAAAGATAGAGAAATCTTTGAACGAATTAATGAAGAGGATAAATTTAATAAGAAAAATCATCTTTTACAAAATCGCCAATTAATACTGATCTCGGAACTTTGGCACACGTTAATATATCAAGCGCAGATGGTGATTATATCAAAAAATCAATAAATAAACGGTTTAGGCTAAGAGATCAAGTAATTTGAATTTCAATTTTTTTAATTGACCGGTTCCCCAGTTTCAAAAAAATGCATCATTAAATTTATCATAAATAATAAATACGCTATACGTTGACTTGAAGTTTAATTTTGCATTATCATTTTATGTTGAGTAGAAAATAGAACAATTTTTTTAAAAAATTTATTGGATTAATAAAATACATGAAATATGAAATATGAAATTTTACAGAAAGAATAAACTATTTTATAAAAACAATTTTTTTTTTTTTAATGAACGGTGAAAAAATCATCACCAGTGATGATTCATCACCGAATCAATTTATAAAAACCGAAATAAAAAAAAATAAGAAAGATTAAACTTTTAAACAACCTAAACCTTAATAAAAAAAAATTACTTTTGTATTATTATATTAATAATCTAGGTTTCTCAAATAATTTAAAAATGCACATTATATATATATATCTATATATCTATATATAAAATAAATAATAAAAAACGTGAAATTATTAATTTTTTAAAGCTCTTCTAGTTGTACCGATGGATCTTCTTCTCTTTGAATCCCAGCAATCAGGATATTTCTTTATTCTAACATTAATGCAATACAAGTAATTGTTTCCAACGTTATCATCCCATCTGAATCTCATTACACAATCTTCGTTATCACATTCATCGTGTGGTACCATAACAAACGCAGTGAATAAGCCTTTTTCCATGCCACATGTTCCCAAGTTCTCGAAAGTCTCGAAATCTTTATCATATTTATCACCATATCGAGACAATTGCATTAAACAGTCTCCACCGTGAGTAATAGTTCTATTATAGGCGATTAAAATTTTCTCACCAGGTTTGTATACTGTAACTGGGCCTGGACCATCACCGGCTAAACCACAGGGGAATTCCTTGGTTGGGTTGGAAACCTTAAAGATTACATCGGTAACATTATCGCCATATAGAAGTCTTGGAGTAGGGCTAAGAAGAATACCATGAGCTGAAACTCGTCCAACGAGTCCAATTAAAAGTGTGAAGATAAGAATGAAGTTGATAGCACCAGAGATTTTGGATTGAACCATTTTAAGATATTTTTCGTTAAAAGTTTTTTTTTATCGTATTAAAGAACA